TCGCAAAGAAGGCATGTCCAGACAAGGGAAGGAGGATTGATTTAATGTTCAGAAATGTAGCCTTCCAGGACCCAGCAGATGCTCAGTCTCAACTCCTCAAGGTTGAGTATTATCCAACCCATGAAATGTGAGTTTGAGTTTGGTTGCTTGAGTCATCGGTTGGAATTAAGGAGATTTCATAAAATTCTTGTTGTGGGTAAAAGTCCCAACAGATGCCATTCAGCCACATCCTGTGAGTAAGTTGGACCATAGTTGATGTCGTAGTGTGTTGCGAGGCAGCTGCTTGCAGCTTTCGAGTAACCGTCTCCTCCGACACTTGGCCAACATTCCTGGACTACTGGTCATACTCTGACTTCATGAAGTAGTTTGGAGTTTGTCCCCATTTAGATCCTTCTCCCAAATATGTTTGCAGTTTTACAAACATTGGATTTCTTCGTGTAATGAGACCTGTCTGTCTGGATGTGAATTGTGCAGAGCTCAAACTCTGCATGTTGGAAAGGAAGGGAAAGCTGCTAAGTTCTTAATAAGAATCTCAATTTTGAACCCTTAAATTCTTCACCAGATCTTCTATCTTATACGATTAAAAAATATATATCACTTAAATTTTATAGAAGGTGGAAAAGAGAATACTTTTATAGTGTTCCAATATTTGAGGGGCTGCCCCAAAGAAGAGGGGGTTCAACCTATCTTCCAAAGCACCTGAAGGCAGGAGAAGAAGCAATGGGGAGAAACTAATCAAGGAGAGAAGCAACTTAGAACTAAGGNAGATAGATAGATAGAGATAGATAGATAGATAGATAGATAGATAGATAGATAGATAGATAGATAGATAGATAGATAGATATAGATAGAGATATAGAGATATATAACCACAATTGAAACAATAAAACTAATAACAAGAATCAAATAAATTAATATAGTATAATATAATACAATCACTTCCCACCCTGCCCCAGAGACAGCAGATCACATGAGCCATTGAATGGGCTCCATCCCGCTCCGCATTCCCCAGGGCTTCAGTGCCTTCTGGAAGAGTATTAGAGTGGGGGCCATTCTAATCTCTGCGGGAGGTGATATTCCAGAGAAAGAGGAAGCCACCACAGAGAAGGCTCTTTTTCTGGGTCCCACCCGGTGTATCTCCCTCGGGGATGGGATCCGCAGCATTCCATACCTCGCCGCTCCACTTCATTTGTCAGAGATGGTGTAGGGTCTCCCGCTTGGGCAGGAGGGGGTTGGACTAGATGACCTACAAAGTCCCTTCCAACCAGAAGTGGGTTCCTACCAGTTTGGACCAGTTCGGCCGAGTAGATAGCAGCTCGGCTGGCCACATCCCCGAACTGGCTGGCCATGCCCCTGAACCTGTTCTATGGATGGTGCATAGGCTCCACCATCTTGTTTTTTGCTTTCGCACGTACACAAAGGCAATTTTTTTACTATTGCACACGCACGCCTAACGTACATCAAGTGTGTGTATGTGCAGAGCATGTCCCTGAGAGAACCAGCAGTAACAGAAACCAGGACCCACCCCTGCTTCCAACTCTGGTAATCTACCGTGTCGAAATAAACGAAGCAAAACACCCATTTTTGAAGCACGGTGGCTTAGAAAATTGGCAGTAGACAGCTAGGATTTTATTGGCTGACAAGCATGGATCGGGTGGAAGAGGCTGCCTGGATGCATTGAAATGCTTTGGAAGGAATATTGAATGCACTGGAAACAAGAAGTAAATATTCTGGATACATCATTTCTAATAAGCCTTGCCTATCTTCCGTTGCACCGGCAAGCCATTGGTAAGGTGCCTTTATCTCAGCCTCCGTCACGTGTATCATAAACGTCCAACGTTATGTCAGTTACAATTTTGTACCCGGGGAATCTTCCCTTAAACTCGAATCTGTTCCTCTTCAGCCCGATGAGTCTCTTGGAGTGTTATAACACCTCTCCTATTAGAAGTAAAATCTGGTCCGTTTTTTATTCCAAGCTGGGAAGAAAGAGGCTGGGGAAATTAATTGGGGGCTGGCTGCAGTGGGGAAGTAGGTCCTTGTTTATTTGGTAGCCGGAAACCGTGACCCGTCAAAACCGTGCTCAACTAAGCCGTGCCCGATTAAACCGGGTCGTTGACGTCATCAACAGGGCGACAACAGCCAGCGCGGAGAAAGAAGGG